CTCCATTTAATCTATACTGCCATAAAATACCTATCAGTCCTTGCAAACCTTTAAAATGTAGGACTAGATAGCCTTTCCAATTCTCACTCAGGAGCGGTGAAACACATCTCTGCCTGTGAGTCACCTACCATCCATCAACCTCATTGCCATGCCAGGACTTGTCAATCACAGTTGAAACAGGATGCCAATTGTCTTGAATGTAGCGCCTGAATCAATAACCCATTAAAATGCCAGGGACACTGACTCCAGGGCAGCAGATGTTGACACTTTACACCACTTTCCTTAATCAAAATCTCACAGAAGGTAACATAAGGCCAGTGATGGGGCGATCCTGTAGAGCATGGAGTCTCCAAACGTCTTTCAAAAACATGCTTGCTTCCATTTGCACTCTTAGATGGAATCTCATGTCTCACAACCATATCAAATTGGGATATAGATTGGATATTTATTCTTAATATTTAGATATTAATTTCTAAGATTACAGCAAAATGTATTTTACAGTCCCCTTGGCTATGGATGGCTGACCCCTCTGATTCCCCAAGACCCCACTTTCAAAACCACTGTACTAAATCCCCTACCTGAGGGTCTGGCCTCAATTACATAGCGTGTTATGGGAGAACGTCCTGGGTCTCCAGGGGTCCAGTGAATGGTGAGGCCCGAACTGTAGCGCGTAATAAATGGCTCTCCAGGGGGTCCTGGGGCACCTGAGAAAGAATAACATAGTAATAAGTGTTTAAAGGGCTAGTGACAAAATGTCAGCTTTCCAAAACATCACTGCAACTACCTTCCCCTGGTCCTGTGGTGATATTTGCTTCCACCTCAGGCCCGTAGATGAAGGTCTTGGCCCGGATGCGGAAGTTGTACGTGACGCCATCTGCCAGGTCTCTGATCTTCAACCACAGAGGGCCGGTCCCCTTCACATCCACCGTCACTGTCTTACTGACGCCTGGGGGGGAGGGGGAGTGGAGACAGTCGGCACAGGCCACTGAAGACTCTAGACAAACACACCACATTTAAAGCAGGTCTTACACAGGCCAGGCAATGTGCAAGCACACCCAACATACGCAAATGCACACAGAAAGTAATGGAATTAGAAACATGTTTGCATTTTGGCACCGAAGCAGTGTATTATTTAAGATGATAGTAGTAGATATGTATAAGGTTGCAATGAATAATGAGCTGTTTATGTAATGGTTAGCGTAGCTCAAGAAATGCACATCACAAGATTGCAAGAAGGTCGACTGACGCGCAAAAGCGTTGACTCTAAAACTTCACATCTTGTAGTGTGCATTAAGCTTTTATAGCCAGCAGCCATTTAGTGCAGAGAAAACTGACATTGTTAAGAATTTGTTACCATCTACAGGTGTGGAGGGTTCATAGACCAGACGGTAGCCCTCAATGATGCCGTTAGGGAAGGTGGGCTCGCCCCAGGACACATTGACGGAGGTTGTGGTCAGTTCACTGAAGTGAATGAAGCTGGGAGCACTGGGAGCTGAAACATACAGATGTCAAAAACATCTAAAATTTTTGTAGAATGACTCTGTCAAATAATAAAAAACAACCAGATGAGTGGATTGAACAAAAAAACAACCCTTGCTTCACTAGCCTTCAGTTGAACTTCTCTCATGAAATACCAAGTAAATTTTTGCACGAGCCATTTTAATGTCATGACATATATTTCTTCTGTCTGATCAATACAGTGGTCCTTCCCATGGTTACATCAAAGGCCTCAAACAGAGGCATACATCTCTAATTCAGTTTTCTCATCTGAACAAAAAGCCTTGTTAAGGGAATTCTTCAGGCTAACAACAAAACATACATAAACGTGGAAATATCACAATTCTCCACTGGTGCTGTTTCTTGTTTATATAGTAGAAATCTTCTGGAGGTCCAGAACCACTGCTGCAAGTCTGAGTCTCCGCGCATGAGCAGAACTCCACTGATTATATAAAAAAAACTTTTTGTTAAACTACATACAGATTTAAAGGTTCTGCATTGCTTACGTATACTTGTTTGACCTTGGGCAGAGCAATTCATAATCACAATGAACACTCTTTGCCTCGAGACCCCATTATAACAGGCTGAACTCTTGAAACCACTGTGCTGAGAAACACATTTTCCTCTGCTGCCTTTAAGCTTCTTGAGCAGGGGGTGAGACACTTGCAATAGACAAAGCCTCTTTGTTTAAAAAAATAAAAAGGGATAACTATCCTCCTAATGCATGCCACCCCCTTCCCAGCTTGTCATCTGCTTCCTCCTCTCAAAACAGCAAGCACTGGGGAAAACAGAGGATCTGTGCACACCTTCCTTTTCCCCCTTTTTACTAGTCTGGGACACAGTAGTAAAACGCATCAAAAATGGCTTTTTGGAAGATAAATATTGTTTTGACACATTTGCAGATGGGCACGGAGGTAGAAAGTCCCACGAGTCACAGAAAGAAGAAGAAGAACAAAGAAAGGGGGCAACGCACGGGGTCCTTTTTGATAAAGCATGCCTGGAGACTCAAAGCTCGCTGACAAAATTTTCATAGCATCAGACAAAAGATGAAATTCAGCAAGTAAGTTTAGAATGGGTTAGCTGATTAGAAACTTATGCTCCGTGTGTGGCTCCGCTAACATCGTTTGGCATGCTGCTGACAACAACGATTAGCATCATCGTCAAATCAAATTCTTTCCCCATGGCTGACTCATCCACTTTGAGAAAACTCTCAGGGTTCTCTAAACTAACATCGGTGCTGCCACCAGCACATAAATATGACAAATGAATAAACACGGCTGTACACGCTCTAATTTATCTGCTTTAGTCTTGTCACGATGTTACCACATTTGTCTTAAGCTTGTCTTTTCTTTTAGAAAACATCTCCATCATGTGTGCGTGCGTTATATACAGAAATATTTGTTTTACTACACTGCTTGATCCCGACTGTTGTGCTCTTTCATACTGATAAACGATTTTGTATAGCCACGTCTGGCGTCTAATTGTCACATTTACCTGCTTGCTGAGTGCGTCCCCTCGTTGGTGGGCTTCGGGGTCCATCCCCAGCGGCGTTGAATGGAGCCACACTGATCATATAGGTGGTGTAACCAGTCAAATTCTTCAGCTTCACCCCTCCTTCAGGCATAAACAGAGTCCGCATCCGCTCAGTCTCGTTCTTACGCTGGAATTCCCAAAAGTAAATCTACATGGAATAGCACAGACATAAATAAATATCTACAGATACTGTTCAGGGAATGGAGCAATTTCTGCTTCTATGAAACTCAGCCCCATTTCAAACTCCCCAATGGGAAATACACAATTATATTTTATTCCCTGCAAATGTTTTCTTGAGCAGCAGACGGAACCTTTTACTGAAACCCCCTCTGGAAAACGCTGTTCGCTAAAAGTGTAAAATTATCAATTTAATAGTGATTAACAACAGATGGATGTAATCTCATGTGAACCACTAAAATGTAAATATTTAATGATAAAAACAGAACACTGTTGTATTGTTACGCTGCACTCTAAAAGTGAGCCAGTAAGGCATGTTGAGCCTGTGCCAGACGCGGCACTTTGCAGAGACTCTGACCTTGTATCCCTGGATGTCTCCATTCTGTGCATCCACAGGTGGAGGGTCCCACGTCACATCCAGCTGGGTGGCTGTTGCGGACTGAATAGCCACATTCTGGGGCGGGGCCGTCGGCACTGTGACAGCCGTTCAGATATATCGCATTTAAGGATGACGTTTTTCGATTTTAATATTTGTTTTCATTACTATGCTCATTGCGTTTACTAGGAAAATGACAGCCTCAAGGAGAAACTATTCCGTTAAAACTGAACAGACTCGGCATTTAAGAAAGATAAATGACCCCCCAAAATCTATTTGCCCATAAGAGGAAGTGTGCATACCTGCTTCTCCAACAAACACCTCCTGTGGAGGGCTGGTTGGCCCCTCACCCACGGCGTTGTACACACTCATGCGTATCTCATAACGCTTGTGTTTACTTAGCTCTGCAGTAGAAGTAAACAGTTTGGAATATAAGGTTAGGAATTATATCAAACACCAATCTGTGACATGTATGCAAAATCCCTACATGGGAATATCTTCCCATTTATGAAAGTCACCATTGCTCTGCAGTTAACTGTAAAGAGGTCTGCTGACCTCCTGGGGATCCATGTCTGCATCCCTACACCCCCCCTCCTGGTGCCCCAAACAATTAGTTGAAGTAGAAAACGTAATAAATAGGATATGATCCCTGAATGGTTTCACACCCACCCACACAACAACACTACACGGAATTTTACACTGCTGCCCTCGGAAGACATTTCTATTTCAATTACAAATTCACAGAGTGACACTGTAATTATGAGTCTGTCGAATTGTGCATTGTGGGGGTACAGGAGAAATATGTGACCATCTGCTTTTGCAGTGCTCATCCAAATAAGCTGACATGTGCAAACCAAAGAGCATGCTGGACCAGGCACGCTTGTGTATTCAGTGTTCAAGAATTTCTATGTACAAAGCGCTCCACTGGCCTCAGTAGAAGTGTTTGTACCGAGCAATGTGATTATAAGCAGCCAAATGTTGTGTTAATTTGCTTAACACTCTGAGTTCTCTATTCTAGGAAGCCGGGCACTTGAGAAAAAATTGAGATTCAAAAGGAAAATAGTTTTGGTTTTGTTTTTTCAACCTAATTTGTTTGCAGATTGAATTATTGTGTTTATATGTGTGCTTTCGAGAGGCAGAGAGATAACGAAACTTACTGTCTAACTCATACTGGGTGAGCGTTGAATCACTCAGATTTCGGAGGCTGTAGGGAGCTGCAGAAAAAAAAGGGATAAAAAAAAGTCAAAATAAGAGCTGTTAAGTGGAGAGACAAAGGTAGTAGGGTTCAAAGTCAAAAATTTGCTGCTGTTAATGAGGGCAGCAACATTATTATAAGAAAAAACAACCCAATGATGGTGATCATAGCTCTGAATGAGCAACAGAGTGAGTCAACAAGAGGAAAATTATAGGCCAAGTTTCACAAAGCAGCAGAAAGAGAGAGGGCTCCAGAGTAAACCTAATAATAGCCTGCAGCTGATAACCACTGATCACAAGATGAAATGTTTTGCTGTGAAGTGTCAAGACCAGTGGGGAAATCTTGGCAACAGTATAGGCCTTTGTGAGAATTTTCCTCTAATGGAAAAGGGGCTGCTGACGCATAAAGACAGCATGTGAATAATCAACCATAACAGAGACTTATAATTATGTGTTACTGAAGTAAAGCGCAGGACTGTATTTCTTGATGTGCAATTTCTAACCTCGGTTATTTCTTTATGGTCTTTAAATTCATAATGTCACATTTCAAATCGCACACCGGAGAGTTCCAGTTAATGCAATATACCACTTGTTATAGTACACAATTCATTTTTCTTAGGATCCTATAGTGTAGGTGGTGGCATAATAAAATGTATTTTGTTGGTAGCAGTTATTTCTCACCAGAGAGCTCAGCCCAGGCGGATGCACTGTTGACTGTGTGAATATAACTGCGGAGACGGTCGTACAGCAGCTCGCGGTATCGAATGCGAAAGCCCAGTAAGATACCATTTATCTTCTCCTCTGAGGGGGGCTGAGGAGAAGAATGCAGACTTACTGTTAGTCTAATGTAGCACATCACTGTACATCTGATACCTACAGATAGCTTGGAAGACTACATGCGATCCAAGTGATCCAACTCCTTTTAACAAGTTTTTTTTCTTCACTGCTAAAAAACTGCCAAAAACCCCCCAGTTATTACTGACATTTGTCATTAACTTACCATCAACTAAGAAGATTTAGAGTAACTGTTATACACTGACAGAAAAAACAAAATCACGCCATGTCACACCAAGCTGAAGAAAAATCCCCTTTGATTAAACAATGAGAGGAACAAACCCACAGAAGAAAGAAAAAAAGCACAAGCAACTCTCGATCCTCATAAAGTCTACAAGTGTTCTCCATAAAACTAAAATTGTGTCTCAGAGCCTCCTGTTTTTCTTTTTATGACCTGTTAATTCAGGTGGGAATGCGGGTGAGGGTGCTTTTTATTACGCAGACAGTGTGGCAGTGTGTTTATCAGTCTATACTGTAAGTATAGGCCTTGCTGTTTGCTATCAAGCTCTCTTAGAAGCCACTTTCCCACACTCGAATAGATCACGAAGTTTGAAAACATATATATAAAGTTGTTTTGTTTGTTCTTACCTGCCAGCGGATCAGCACTGACGTTGTTGTGTGTGGCGTGACAGAGAGAATCGAGGGCGCTTCGTCAGGCACTGGGGTAATAAAAGTGAAATAAATGAGCTAAATTGACCAGAAAATCTGCACAATTCAAGATGCTTAACCTATCCATGTGCAGTGGCATTCATGGAGCATAAATACACAACAGCCACAACAGAAGAACCATTGATGAGTCAGAAATAGCTGAGGGAAAGATCAGCAGAGTTTCTTGATTTGGATAAGCACCACTGGGCAAACTTTTGTTTTCTTTTATAAAGTTGCTCTTTTGTCTCATGATGGTGCAGTTGTTGTTGTCTTTGCCAGTAATGTCCAAATCACAGCAAAAGGCAAATTGATGCAGACATAAAACTGTTTTCACTATGATACAGATCAAAGTCATACCTCTGACTTTTTGTGCTTAAACGTAACCTACATTTTAAATAACAACTTGATACTATACACTAACATATAAAAGATGTCACAAAGGAATAGCTTGTTTTGTGAAAATGAACACTAGCGTTCACACTGGCTGACAGCTTGAGAGTGTCACTAAATGAAAATGACCACATTCACCAAGAAAGTGTCTTGCACAACACACCATAAATGTGTCATACATCAATATGACATGCATACATTCAAAAAATTCCATACGAGTAAGCTTTAGAGGCACTTATTAGTAGCTACAGAGCAAGCCAGACAAGACATTTCCAGCTTTATACCAAGTTTGTGCTTAAGGATGAGTCACACAAGAGCAAAAATAGATGTTCAAAAAAGTTTATTTTTGAATAACTTGCAGTCGGCAGCCAAGTTGTCCCAAACCACTTTGTTGCCAAGCAGTTGTGGTAACCAATTGGTTGTCCAGACGTTAAGCACGTAACACCCTCAACCTCTGGGCCATGTTTAAGTGCAAGGTGATTGCACAAGTTGGCTGGTCACAGGAAACCTGTCTCCAAACAAGCACGTTTTGACTTGAACTTGGACTCTTTTAGTCTTACCTTAGTTAACAGCAATCAAAAATAGACCCACTTCTTTCTGATCAAGGTAAACGATGCATCATGTCATCAGATTTTTATGCTGTAAACGATGAGAATAAAGATTGTTGCTCATCGTGTTACTCTTACCATCCTGTAGAGTTGTGATTGCTTCACTTTCCTGACTGTACTCGCTGTCCCCTATGTCATTGGTGGCTTTTATTCTGAACTGGTAAGATGTGAAGGGTTTCAGCCTTAGGGATGAAAGCACAGAAAAGCACATCAATCTTTATCACAAACTGCAGCATTGAAACTTCAAACTTTTTAAACTCCATACATCAAAAAGAGAGTCTCACTGCGAGGTTTAGAAGCAAACTATTAGGCATACTTTAAACCAAACTGGAACCTTAATGGCAAATACAGTTTCACATTTGTACTTGCCAAATGCATTTCCATCGTTTACGTTCCAAACTGCAATCCTCTGGAAACATTATTCTCTAAAAGAACACATTTCTTATGCCAGCTATTCAAAAGCTAGGGGAATATTAAAGAGGAAGCGTCAGCAAAAAGTGTGAGAACACATTTGTTCTAATAAAGGGAATGTGAAAATTTACACCTTAACGTAACCAGATGTCGTTACTTGATGATACTCTACCTGGATACTATGTAGGTTGTGGCCTCGTGGCTGACAGATGCTGAGTGGACCGTCCAGTTGCTTTCAGGAAGCTCTCTTAGCTGGACCGTATAGTAACGCACGGGGGACAGGCCGTCACTACCAGGCTCCCATGAAAGCAACACCTGGCGAGCCTGAACGTGTTTTTGAGGAACCAGGGGGCGGCTGGTAGGCTGAGGACGAGCTGGAGCAAAAACAGAGGCAAGTAAGGGAAAGAGAAACGGGCAACAGAATACAAGGACGACTGCTGTGTGCGCATGTGACACATGAATTGGGACAAACTGAGTGTTTGGAGAAGTTGCAGATGTGCGGGGGAAAAATTGGAGCTATTAGAAACAGTTTTTTTAAAATATACTTCTTGTTTTCCATTTACTCAGATTTGCATGAGCTATGTAGAGCTGACAAGAAAGAAGAAAGTGTGATTCTGGTGCTGGAATGAAAAGTAGCTGAGAAACTAAAGTAGCATAGTACACGATCCACAACATGCCTTGAGGGAAGCAGATGGACTGATGCATTCTCACAATGACATCAGAGTGCTTCAATAAATACCCACAGGGCACAGACACTCCTCTAGAAAACACATCTGCTCGCTGAACTGTTGACTGGAAATGAACTAAGTGCAACGGAGGCTTAGTGCAGCTCTCTGCATGTTATGCCATTACGGAGATCATACACATGTGTCTGTTCTCAGGTCTCAGCACCATTTATACAACTGTTACTATATTTCCTGCATTGTTAGAGAAATACAAATTATGTTGCTACTACGCTTCCAAACACCACTTCATCAGCATCAGATGAAACATTTTATTCATATTCTCAATTAAATTGTTGTTTTTATGACTCCACCACATATCCAGCGCTCGAATATGTCAGTATTAAAATCCACATCGAGTTACCTCTTTTCTCCGTGGTAACCACGAGCGCCTCGGCCGCCTCACCCCAGCCTTTCCTTGTCTGTGCCGTGATGCGAAACACATAGACAGTTTCTGGCTTGAGGTTAGTCACCATGTACTGGCGGGCGCTAGGGTTCAGCACATCCACTGTGGCTGTGTTGCTATTGGTGGAGTTGAGGTGGTACGTGATCTGGTAAGCTGGAGAAGAGACAAATGGTCTTAATAAAGCTGTCAAAGATGCTCTGGGTTAGAATGAAACATGTATTTCAGTGGTATCTGAAGAAACAGTTGTTTATACTGTTAATAAAAGGGAAATCAAGCTGCGCTGCAGACAGCTGTGTTCCTTCTGACAGGATTTCATTAGCATCTGCTCCTCTATGCTACTTTGTAGGTCTGTCACACTGGACAGTTTAAACTAAATTATCCAACAGATGTTTAATGGAATAAATACTCACAAGGAAATCCCCAGTAAGCCAACAAGAGAATCCCAGTCCCTTTATTGCAAACCGGAAAATAACAAGACTTGATTTCCCCCAACGAATACGGTCTAATCCACTCAGTTGGGGAAAAAAACCCAAATCAAAGTTTGCAAAAGTATGTTTACAATGATTGGGAGCAAAAACTGTTGCCATTGATTTCTAGAGTAGAATTAGGGGCCAAATCTTAATAAAAAACATTTTGTATGTACTAACCAAGTATAATGCCATTCGGCTGGGCAGGGGACTGCCAAATAAGGCGGACTGAGGTGGTCCGGACTTCAGGGAACAGGATACCCACTGGAGGTCCTGGGACTGTGAAGACCACACAAAGATTTAAAGTTTTTTCAGACATAACATACAAGTAGCCCCTCCCTTTTCTTAATTCTCTTACCAAAGTATTCAGCACAATATCAATTGCTATTTATTTTTACATAATTGGAATGCTTAATCTTGCTCTATCCTGTGTTCCTACCATCATCCAAGGTCCTTTCAAGAATAGGTGGAGAGCTCGGCCGTCCATCTCCAATCCGTGTGAATGCCAGAACTTGGATCTCATAGAGCACATATTTCCCCAGACCAGTCAGCTGGACACTGTGAGTGGCATTCCCCTCTACTGTCCAGAAGTGGACTGGACTGTCCGAGTCTTTTTCTTTATAAACCACCTGACTCGGTGAGGAGACAGGAGAAAGAGGTTGGGAAAAGTGAATGTGGAAATTAAGTAGGACAAATAGCCTCAAAAACCGCAACCATGCTGTGTATTTCACTGTTTAAAAGAAGCTCAAGTTTTTTCCAAATTAATTAGATGCCTCGGAAAGCTCAGTAAATAAAAGGTGTATAGCTGCCAAATATAAAAAGCAGAAATAGACCTTGTAGCCCAGAATGAGCCCATTCCTGTCCGGCTCTGGGACTTCAAACCAGCGCACCAGGATGCTGCTTGAAGTAGTTGCAAAGGCAGAGACGTTGGTGGGACCACTGGAGGGAACTGGGAACAATAAAGAGATTAGAGGGCTGGATAGTCTAGTGTTTGCCACATATTCCAAAAAGTCTGTCATATATGCTGTGTATGAGGGCAATTACTGTGTACATACGGGTCTAAAATAGAGAAGGATTTATTATTTGTGTTTGCGTATGCACACAGAAGCTTCTATTATTTTGGCTTGGTGGAAAAAACCCCTCAAGAATAGGGCTCTTCTCCTCCTTGGCACTCATCCTTGGACAATATGCCTGATTCCTAATAATTTGCTGGAGTATGGGGAAAAAAGAGCGCAGGAATTCCACATTTAAGTCCATGTGTTCTCAATTTCCTCAGACTCCATTCTTAGCTCCTTCCATGTCTTTCTGTCCAATGCCTGGTGAAAGCGTGAAAGCAGACGCAAGAATGGAAAAGCAGTGTCTTTGCTTATATTAAAGAGGCTATTAAAAATACTCTAGCAGGGCATCTGAGCAAGAAACAATCTGCTCATGGATTTACCATATGGCAAAGTGTTAAGTGTTTGTTTGACACCTCTAATATGACTAATAATAAAGATATTCAGCACAGATGCTGCAAATACAGTATCACAGAAGTAATCAGCGTGTTTTTATTTCTGGGTTGTGAAAATGTGTTTGATGTTCACACAAATATGTGTGAGGCAATTTAGGAATTTGACCTTTAACAGAAAAAAGAAGATTTGACTAATCTGATGAAGTTTGTGCATTACTTTTCCAAACAAAACAGTGTTTTTCCACAGCGTGGAACTCACCAGACTCCCGTGTCCTGCCTCTGACCGGTTGGCTCCAGGGTCCCACTCCAATGCCGTTTACAGCCTGGACCCTGACCTCATATTCTGTCCACTCCTCCAGGTCCTCAATAGTAAACTCTCTCTCCAGACGGTCGGTAATAACATGGGTGAGTGGATGGCCCTGTGAGCCTGCACGGGAGTACTGAACCCTGTAGCCCACCTGCTCTGCATTCCCATTATATTCCCATTCAGGCAAAGGCTGAGGGGAAGGAGATGGTGTTCACATTGAGAGATATTGGACTGACTAACAGGCCTGTTTCCTTCAACTCATCAAGTTTTTCTTACAGTGTGACATCACTAACAAAAACTGGCATTTTAGAAAAAGATTTCTCCTTACCATCCATCGTAACCAGAGGCTTGTTTCACTAGCGGTGCGCAGGGTGACGTTGGCAGGGGCCATGTCGGGAGGAGCTGGTAGGGTCTGAATTTTTCTGGAGGGCTGACTGGGAGGACTGGTACCCACTATGTTCACCTGACGCATCCGAAACCTGGTATATGGATTTGAACATCATAACATGAATCTCGCTTGAGAAAACACTTACTTGATTTCAGCTGTAGTCCTGAAACTGGGAATCTGGCAGCTTAAAATGAACCTGCAATGATCAGCATTATAGTCGCACTTGCATCCTCTTACATGAGGCTTATTGCATTTGAACAAGATCAGAGCGCTGAATATGAATAAAGCATGAAAATGCTGAGAGGGGGGCTTATTTGCGTTATGGCCTGAATATGCAAAACAACAATTTTTTTGCATTTAACTATATTGAAATGAAAAGTGGCAGCGCTGATGTTGGAATGATGAGAACTATAGCTGTTGTGAGCCTTTAGGGATTGGCTCAGTGAAATGCTAATTGCTTATATTGAATGCGATCGTGAAAAACAAGCCAAGATAAAAATCAGGCATACACTTAAAAAAAACTTTTAAAATAATCTTGAATTCAAATTAAAGGAAAACATAATAAGATAAGCTGCTGGGACATGCTGAAATGAAAGTGCACATACACAAATGGCACATGATTACTTTCAATTAAAACTGGCATTGCTAAGTTGTTAACACTAATACTGATGTGACTTTGTGTGTCTGTACAAAAGTACAGTGCAGCAGATCAGTTTTTATTTGTTCTTTTCAGCACGTGTTCTGCCACAGGAGAATGTATACTGAGGTGAATGTGTAGTATGTCTGCAGAAGTACTTTGTATTTAATAATTTTGGAACTCAGGTACACAGTAAAGATTCACAGAAACAAGTTTCCAGTAATTACCTGTATGAGGTATATGGGTTGAGACCTGGCACCTCTAAGGAGCGAGCCTCAGGTTCGTTGAACACCTGGTGGACCATCAACCAATCCTCATTTTCTCCTACTGCACCCACCTGGGAATAAGACAACAGATGAGTCAAATGCTGCACTTCTCTTTCTGAGGAACCGAGGAAAGTAGTGAATTTTTACTGAACTTTTTAAATATAACTAAAAAACAAATAAATTATTAGTTCCAGTTAAAATCTGGCTCACCTGGGCCTCCACTAGCCAGCGGGAAATGGAAGTTTTGCCATCATAGCCAGGTTTGAACTGCAGGTTGATGGAGCGTGGGCCAATATTGGAAATTGCCATGTTGGTAGGAGGGCCAGGAAGCTCTGTGAGGAAGCAAAAAACAAACAAACAAAACAATTAAAAGAGTCACATAAAGCAATAACTGGGCTGATATTACTATGTCACTGGAGAATGTGCACTAAGATATGGATATTTTTCTCTTGCTGCCTCTTCCACAGGGCAAGTTGTTGAGTCTGTGGACTACATAGGAAAATCCATCAACCACAGCACCCTCTTGTGGCAGAACAGATACTGCACACATATATTTCTCTGCTATCTCATCCTATTCTCTCCAGAGTGCTCCCACCTTCAGCCAAGACACCAAAAAAGAAGATTAGATTTGGAAAAGATGCTTACACACAGTACACAGATAGAGACAATGCCATGAATGTCAATTACACTGCAGTTATCTGGATATATGATTCAATCTGATATCCTACTTGTTTACACTTGAGCTAAATAAACAATAAGAATGGATTATTCACTGGTAATCCTGGAGAAGGGGGGGCAAATCTGAAAATGGTGAATTCAAAGAACAGCAAGAAAGCATTTTTGCGTATATGAATAGCAACACTTTTTGTGCTTGTCTAGGTAGGATTGGATAATTTATGCGAGTGCAAAAACGGATTCATTATTCATCATTTTTTACCTCATACTTTTTAAAATATTAAACCTACTAGGCAATCCCCTCTTCCCAAAGCGCAATATAGTTAACATAAATTCTAGTTGAAGACATTAATCCAAACCATAGCCCATCGGTATGACCCAGTATTTTTTGAAAAAAAGATATCATCATTGCCACATGGGGATACTAAACTGTTTTTTCCAAGATTGCTTAAATGTGAATATATTCAATCATAATGAAACGCAGATTATGTGTCGCTGTAAAATGACCACCTCTAAATTATTTGCATGACTGATTACTGAGGTTGCTTTTAGCTGGGTCATTACAGTACAGTTGCAGGCACATAGGCGTTTTCTTTATACCTATACAATGGGAGTAATTGCTATTCTGAACGTAAGTGCTACACTGAGGCCTGTTCTCAATAAAACAGCCTGTCATTTCACAGGTTTCACAGATGTACAGCCTCTAAATGTAGCTCCAGTAATTGACGTGGGCATTGTGTTTCTGTTGCACCGTTTTGCAAATATGAAATCATTAAACACTGTAATCGTCCTTAATGCTATCGAGGGAGCTATTATTTCACGAATGTCGGGGAGATACGTGCATGTGCAGGTTTTTGGGGGGTTTTTTTGCTTCTGTCCTAGATGAGGTGACCGGGGTCAGATTTCATTGTGTCTGGCGCCAGACAACATTGAGTGTGTGCACCGAGTTCAATGCGTGACAGTAAATCTACGGGAAGGGAAGGTTCAGTAAAGGTCCCCAGCTGCTCATTAATTTGAATAAAGACACAATTTTGACTTGAGAATTAATTGAGCTTGGAAAGGTTTTATGATTGTTAATTGGAACTGCACACTGCCTGAGAATGAAGGCATGCGGATAAAGGTAGATATTGTCTGAGTATGTAAAAAAAAAATGCTATGGCACTTGTAATGTCAATCAATTTTTCTAACACTTGCTTTTTGCAGGTATCATGTAAAAGCGTACTTTCATTCGCTTTCACAACATGCCACCACCTCTCCTCAAAATAGACATGAACTGTTAACAGATTTTACAGGGACTATTTCTTCAAAGAGCACTCAACCAAGGATGAGTGATACTTAGCCTCAACACAATTGTGTAACGTCTTCTGTTCCAGAGGGCGCTCTCCAAGTACGGAAAAAATGAATGCTGACGATGTCTACAATGAGACTGAATGAACATCGAAACAGGAGCTGCCAATACAAACTGACATTTTGGAGAGGGACTTAAGTGGGCGGGCACAATTAAAGATGCAACTGCAATGTGAGAAATGTAGAATCTAGTGTGTATCCATTCTCACACATGAACTTTAGACAGTGTCAGAAAAATCTGGAAAATTGTCTTTTGTTTTTTGGGGGAAAGCGTTCTGCCGGAGGAGCTGACCACTCACAAGCTGTGAAGTCACTGAACTTTCAGTGCTTTTCTCATACTCGCAAGAATTGATGCAAGATGACACCACACAGGCTTGTAGTATGAGCTAGGAGGTTAAGGACTATTTAACATTCAATAGACTGCAGTAATTTGTGTTGTCGGGTGCACCTCTGCCTGGTGATGTTTAGAAAAGTTCAGTGCTGCAGTTCATGTCTAAAAGCTGCTTTTTTTTTTCTTTTTTTTTTTAAATTACTCTTTCATATCATCTGGAATAAAAAATTTTGGGCACACAGGCTCTCATGTATCTGTAGTGAATGCTTGGTTACTAACCTGGTGGGACACCAGAGGAAATGGTGGAGGAGGACAGCACGCCCTGGCCCTTGGAGGTCATTCCTCCCACTTCAATAGTGTAGGTGGTGAGAGCAGTGAGCCCGGTGACCCTGTACTCTAAGGTGACATTGGGCAGGTAGTGGGTGACTCTGGTGTTTGTTCGGTTGTACTCCTCCCAAGAAATGCGGTAACCTAAGGAGAGGCAGTGATGAGTGGACACGGATAGAGAATCCTCCAAGGGAAAATCTGACAGCAGTTTTACTACAATAGCAACTCCAGGCTTGCGTGCTACAGGGCAAGCTAACAGAAATATTAAATTAACTTCATCAAAAATTGAATATAGCAAATTAAATAAGCCTGTGATTATACCTCCCTGCACTCACGCATCCTCCGCCCACTCCCATACACACATACAGACACACATGCTCACCCGCTCAAAGTTAATGCAATTTGCTCCTTGGCCAGCAGCTCTTTTCATGTGATTGCACAAAGCATTAAGCAGCATTTCTTGCCAAATCAATAATTTCACATGGCATGTCAGTGTTTGTCTCCTGGGAGCGTGCAACACATTGAAATGTTGGAAATACTTTACAACATGCTGCTAAATATCAAGCTGTGCAAACATTTAACAATTTGTTAGCTAGATTCTTTAACGTAATACTCAAGAAAAAACATTCTGCATGTGAGTCGATGGAGTGAAAGATTTACTGCACATTAAGCGACTGATAAGTCGATGGCGTGGTTGCATGAAAAATAATAGAAACAATATATTGGCCAGTATTATAGAAAAATCACTGAGTAGTAGGGAATGTAATTTTAAGAAAAGCCAAATAACCATTTCTGCACTCTTACCACTGAAAGATTCACTTTAATGATCTATCTCATCAGTCAATGTGATGTTTTATTGGTCTTTATTATGTATGATAATTTAAGGACTTTTTGCCCTTTTATTACTATACTGTTTCATAGTAAAATGGTCACATTTCTGTATATTTCTTCTACGATTGCAAAAGACTTGAGCAATGCCTCTCGAAGGGAGCCTTATTGAGAGATATTTCATATGGAGAGCTTGGGAGAGGAGACAATGTTGGCTGAAAAATGTCATTTTTCAAATATTCTTCTCTTTCTTTCTTTTTTTTTATTTTCTCAAGTGTTGTCTTATTGCTGGTATATTCTGTCTGTGGCTTGGGAAGCACTATGTGCATGAACCCCCACAAAAAACAAAGAAAAACAACAACTAACGATAAAGAACCTCTCCTGGGCTGGCTTCACTAAATGAGTTCAAGCAGCTGCAATATAAAACCAAATCCTCCGGTCTCAGTTCAACCTGAGCACTGCCTCATGCGACTGGTGTCTGTCAACTCAACTCTGACAAATACCACCTTGGAAAAAAAAAAGGTGCTATTTCGCACCTTTTCTGCCTCTGGCTACAAGTATAATTTGGGAGTTACGTGAATGTACCTGTGAGAACTCCATTCTTCTCGCTGGGCTCACTCCAGCTGACTTTGAGTGAAGTGTCCAAGATCTCGGTGAAACTCAGATGACCCACTGCACCGGGGGCTGAATAGGAACAAATAAGAATAATGAGCACGCCTAAGAGGTTTGAGCCACAGCTGTACAGGTGATTGACTAGGATCTGGAAATAGCCACTCATTGCTGACATCTTAAGAGTTTGGATTTGAAAATTTGAAAAAAAAGAAGAAAGAAAAACCCGTGAATATGAGCCGGGGTACACTAGGAATTTTTACCACTTCGCAAATATTCTGTAAAGAACTATATCCCAATTATGATGATGCCGAATATACTCATTCATTAGCACTTTTCTACAACTCCTTACTACATGAATAATAGATCTTGCCCAAAGGATGTGTTACTGTGAGATGCATGTGTCCCCATGCCACCGTGGGAGAGGCAAAAGTGTGGAAGAAAAGTCACTTACTGTCCTCGTGCGTCCTCAATGCTTTAGGCGGGCTGCGGGGGCCGTCTCCGGGTGTGGTGAAGCACAGCACAGAGGTGTAATACTCGGTGAACTTCTTCAGACCTGTCACATATCCCACATGGACGCTGTCCTGGAAGTTCGGTCGTACTGTTACCATGGCAACTTCGTCATCCTTGCCAGGTTCCCAGGCCAGCAACTAAAGTGGGGGGAAAAACAATGTAAAAACAAAAGAAAAAATAGAAAAAAAGAAAGGAAATTACCCACACGGTTGAAAATAAAGCGACTAATCCTTTTTCTTCTGTAATAATTCTCACAAAACTAACAGTAGTGTCTCTCTGTGGTGGTCCTAAGCCACTCCGAGGAGAGATTTGGCATCACAGCTCTCCCAAATATATTTAGAAAAATGCCCTAAAGAGGTTTTGACTGGGGGAGAGTGACTGAATAACTCCGCCAATGTAGGCTCAAGAGAGACATGATAGCATCCCATCATTGCACACCATATAGCATCTACAAATGGGGTCTGGATTGACCAATTAGCTGCTTGGTAATGAGTCCCAATGGTTGTCTATTGGGTTGTTTCCAGTTTTCAGAGTGAGCGAGCTTCCAGGGAAGTAAAGAATTGGCTAGAGGATGTCAGCGGGATAAATGCTTGATTGTCCGCCTTCATTTTCCAGCTCTCCGTTCTGCTTTTGACACACTTTCTATCACCGCCCACACTATCTACCTCCCCTTTTCTCATTGCTTCTTAAGTCTCTTTCCCGGGAGAAAATCCTGGTATTTAAAATTCAGATTGGGTCTTTACAGTATGACCCTTCCACCAAGCTGACTAAGACATGTGGACTGTCATTCAACAGACAGACAAAAAGAGAGAGAAGAAAAACCCAAAAACATAATTAAGTCTCAGTGGAGTCAGCAGAAAAGTACAACTGCACCATGGATGCAGTTTTGAGAATCCCTGTGGGCTACATTTATTCAAGGTGCACACAAGAGGGGCAGAGATAGTCTACATTTGAGAGCGTCTGACAAAATAATGAAGACATTTATCATTATGGGCACGCAGCCTTACAAAGTTACATATGAGAAATGGTCGTGACGATAAAGAGAATGACCTCAGACTGACAAATCGGTGAACAGAATCCATTGTTCACACTGGCACCAAATGTCGTTAACCCCCCTGGCTTTTCAATCCCCTGTGCTACATGTAATACTACATGCTCAACTGTGACAGGTCTGCCAATGGATGTGATGACTGGTGGTGTTGACACTGCGGCGTCTACTGACCTTGTAGCCCTGGTTAATGCCGTTGATGAACTGGGGGTTAGGGGCTGTCCACGTAAAACGGATAGTTGTTGAGTTGACCGACTCGGCCTGCACGTTGCCTGGAGCTATGGTGGGCACTGGGATGGATGAGGAGAGGAAGAAAAAGTGAGACAGAGCGGAAGAAAAAATAGAAGAAGAACAGAAGGCAAAAAGCAAGGGTGTGACAATGCCTTTCAATTCGCTGTTGGAAGTCTGCCTGCATCTGTTTAGATGTCAGTATTGATTGCTGCTGCGTAGGTCAGAGCAGATACCACCATTACTCTCTCTCTGGTACTTAAACCTTACACCAGAACTCTTTGTGGGTTTGTTTGCAGTGGTGTGACCTATTTATGGGTTTTAGAGTCACGTCATTGTGTTCCTTACAAAGAAGATACTAGTTAGCACTAGCTTTTAGAGCTGATTTCAGTAATATATATGCAGAAATAAAATAAAATGAAAGATTTACACTGTATTTGTAAGATACTGAATGCTTGATTGACACATCTTAAAGATAAGCTTGACTGAATTTAGTAAAAAATAATATACATGCATGCTCACTGAATAATGGGACATTAAATAAGAAGGAAAGAGCTATTGAGTGCTTACCTCCTTGCAGGGTCCACTCAGTAACCTTATGGCTGAAAGTGCCCAAACCTGCCCCATTGTAGGCAGCCACCTCAATCTCATAATTGGTCCAGATGATGAGGTCTTCCAGCAGCAGTGTGGTCATATCTGGGCTGGAAATGTTCTTGATTTGGTAGTCCACAGGCAGCCCAGTGAGACGATACCTGTGATAGACATGTATAAACTTGTTGGACTATTCAGAAGATTGGACACCTGTTCTGGATGAGAGTCCATGTGTTTGCAGATTTTGTACCTTATCTCTGACAGTTTAGTTGTTTCACTGACAAAGACATTACTATTTTACCTGAGCCCAGCAGTGCATTAGAATCCCTGCTAGGGGGAGACAAAGCACTAGCCAACAAGCAATTAAAAACTGACAGCACTGACTGTTGTCTGGAAAACACCTGCTGTTTTATTTGGATGTAATGAATAAAAAGCCTGACAGAAAACCAAACTAATTACATGCCTACAGGATTTACAGTCAGTTTGGCATATTGCTGACTTTACCTAATAGACTTGCTGAAGTTTTTTTTAAGTCAAATCAGCCATTAAATTTTGTTTTGTTTTTTTTCCTCACAGACAAGATATGCATGTATACCTTTAAATACAGCGGTAAGGGATGTAAAACATACTCCAAGTGAGCTGCTCCTAGTAGTTTTCCACTCCAAAACCAAAGACATAAATTAAAATAGATGGATCAATAATATATGCACTGGTAATAAAGTTAGAAGAATATTTTACACTTTACATAACGCTGTAGAAAAGCATTTAGACTTCTGTCTGTTCAGAAAGAAAGTGCAAATGCAAAATATGAAGGTCACAAATCAAAAACGAAATCCATCATCACGTAAGAACACTGACAAAGGAAGCACAATAGATGTGCACACCACTTTGTAGCTTCCTTTAAATATGAAATATGATCAAATTTCTATTACACTGACTTGAGAAAGTACTTGGAGTCCCTCATTTTAAAACATGGACCATCAACACTGTGTAAATTCTAACCATTCACATAAATGTAAGAGACAGGGAGGTGTCTGTGGAGATTTTACCGAACGATGTAGCCTCTGAGGATGCCGTTCTGGTGGCTTTCCGGTGGAGGCTGCCACTGGATCATGATAGATTGGTTGGTCCGACCACTAGCAATGACATTTTGAGGAGGAGCACTGGGGGACTCCTCTGGGAGAGACACCCTGCAGAACACACACACAAATATTGCACTGATAAGACATTATATTAAAACCACTAACATGTGATAACTCGTGTGTAACACCAAACATCCATTTCTGCTGTCTGCTTTCTGCTATCTTAAGCCTCAGTAAAGTTTGCAAGGATTTTGAATTGGCAAAGGGTCGTTGCTGGTCTCTAAGCATGTGAGATGGGGGCTTTGGGTCCTGGCAGTCATGTACCAGCCAGGTAAACATTTGTATAGACCCAGCGCACACATACAGTCCTTTTCTCAGCATAAAATCTTGCCCCACAAAAACCCTTTCAGGAATACAGTGGGGCAAAAAAGTATTTAGTCAGCCACCGATTGTGCAAGTTCCCCCACCTAAAATGATGACAGAGGTCAGTAATTTGCACCAGAGGTACACTTCAACTGTGAGAGACAGAATGTGAAAAAAAAATCCATGAATCCACATGGTAGGATTTGTAAAGAATTTATTCGTAAATCAGGGTGGAAAATAAGTATTTGGTCAATAACAAAAATACAACTCAATACTTTGTAACATAACCTTTGTTGGCAATAACAGAGGTCAAACGTTTACTATAGGTCTTTACCAGGTTTGCACACACAGTAGCTGGTATTTTGGCCCATTCCTCCATGCAGATCTTCTCGAGAGCAGTGATGTTTTGGGGCTGTCGCCGAGCAACACGGACTTTCAACTCCCGCCACAGATTTTCTATGGGGTTGAGGTCTGGAGACTGGCTAGGCCACTCCAGGACTTTCAAATGCTTCTTACGGAGCCACTCCTTTGTTGCCCGGGCGGTGTGTTTTGGATCATTGTCATGTTGGAAGACCCAGCCTCGTTTCATCTTCAAAGTTCTCACTGATGGAAGGAGGTTTTGGCTCAAAATCTCACGATACATGGCCCCATTCATTCTGTCCTTAACACGGATCAGTCGTCCTGTCCCCTTGGCAGAAAAACAGCCCCATAGCATGATGTTTCCACCCCCATGCTTCACAGTAGGTATGGTGTTCTTGGGATGCAACTCAGTATTCTTCTTCCTCCAAACACGACGAGTTGAGTTTATACCAAAAAGTTCTACTTTGGTTTCATCTGACCACATGACATTCTCCCAATCCTCTGCTGTATCATCCATGTGCTCTCTGGCAAACTTCAGACGGGCCTGGACATGCACTGGCTTCAGCAGCGGAACACGTCTGGCACTGCGGGATTTGATTCCCTGCCGTTGTAGTGTGTTACTGATGGTGACCTTTGTTACTTTGGTCCCAGCTCTCTGCAGGTCATTCACCAGGTCCCCCCGTGTGGTTCTGGGATCTTTGCTCACCGTTCTCATGATCATTTTGACCCCACGGGATGAGATCTTGCGTGGAGCCCCAGATCGAGGGAGATTATCAGTGGTCTTGTATGTCTTCCATTTTCTGATGATTGCTCCCACAGTTGATTTTTTCACACCAAGCTGCTTGCCTATTGTAGATTCACTCTTCCCAGTCTGGTGCAGGTCTACAATACTTTTCCTGGTGTCCTTCGAAAGCTCTTTGGTCTTGGCCATGGCGGAGTTTGGAGTCTGACTGTTTGAGGCTGTGGACAGGTGTCTTTTATACAGATGATGAGTTCAAACAGGTGCCATTCATACAGGTAACGAGTGGGGGACAGAAAAGCTTCTTACAGAAGACGTTACAGGTCTGTGAGAGCCAGAGATTTTCCTTGTTTGAGGTGACCAAATACTTATTTTCCACCCTGATTTACGAATAAATTCTTTACAAATCCTACCATGTGGATTCATGGATTTTTTTTTCACATTCTGTCTCTCACAGTTGAAGTGTACCTCTGGTGCAAATTACTGACCTCTGTCATCATTTTAAGTGGGGGAACTTGCACAATCGGTGGCTGACTAAATACTTTTTTGCCCCACTGTAGCTAAAGGAATAGGAATCCGGTGGGATGCACTGCAACAGGTTCAGTCCACAGAGGTCCCACTCACAAAGGTCTAAAGCAACCCCAGAGATCTCATGTCTATACCTTAATAGGTCAGAGCTTGTTTCAAGGGAGACCACTGAGTTATTAGGCAGGCAGGATTTTAGTTTTAATGCTCCAGCTACTCGATGCAGAAGTTTAAAAAATGAAGAAATTCCAGCTGAAGCATTTCCCCGTACAATATCTTCTGTCTCATAACTGTGTCCTTCCATATCCTTTTGTTTGTGAAAAAACTGTCACCGTTTCTTGTTTGCTTTTGCTCTCCGAAATATGTGCAATACTCACCACCTTGAAATCACCTCTGAGGAACTGAAAGGATACCTAGGCTACCTAAAAGCTATATTTCTACTGTGATAAAACACCCCGTGTGCCTGGGGAGAAAATGTGTATGAGAGATGGGAGCGAGATCACTGGCACTGACTGTCCCAAATGGTCTCATGGAGAGTTCTGTACTGCACCCCCCGTGACACACAAATGAAGCTCCCTATGGCTCTCCTATGGCTTGGGAGCTCCCAGCAGGAGGCAGCATGACAGACTGGTGGAGGAAAAGAATGGAGGCAAGAAGGGATAGGGAGAACAATCAGTGCTTGAAGTTGTGTGAGGCCGCAGAGAAGCCAACAGCGGTCTCGCCTCAAACCTAAATCCTCCCTGTGGCTTTCAGAGTCAGTAGGTGTTTGTGTGTTTGAAAATGCGCGTTTGAAAATGCGTGTTTACATGCAATTGCGCACGTTTGTATGTGTATTCTCCTCGGGAGGCTTACATGTATATCCCTCTTCTCTCGACTCTTGACTGAAGGGATCAGTCAATCCGGTTGTCTAGGAAACAGATCTCATATACACAATGTACTGTTTACTAACAACCAACAAAGTCCTGTTTTGACTCTTGTTTTTTGACATTGCTTAGGTTTCTCACTGCTACTGCCAATTAAATGGTGTGCTGAAAGGGACAAAAAAGCTTTTAAAATGTTGATGTGAGATATAAAAAGTGTCTTTAGCTCACCGGTCTGTCTCCTTGCTAAACTGTCCCTTTCCCACATCATTAACAGCACAGAGGCGGAACTGATAGGAGCGAGCTGGGATCAAGCCGTTGACCGTCACTGCTGTGGACTCTGGTTCAATATTGGCCAGCAGGATGGCCCAGGGAGCATCTACAAGACAGAAAATCAACTTTTACACCTTTTTTCCTACATGCGCATCCACACAAATACACACCTGAGTTATTGCTATTGTTCCATTCAGGAAGGAGTGCTACATTCCAAGGAATTTCACCAATATCAAAAGGGATTTTCAATTTAATGCCTTCCAGTCATTTTGTCTTAGAAGGTTTTAAAATTCAATTTAATGAAACAAACCAAGGAATGGTTGAAAAAAAAAAAAAAACCAAAATAGAAGAGCAATAACAGTATTGGTACCCACAGGGAAACTTGGTCTCTGCATTTAAGTATTAGGAGCAGAGAGCAGCTGACATACAGCACCCTGAGACCAACTCCAGATTTAAGCCAGTGCATTTATCAAGGGGACAACAACAGCAGAATCAGCCTAGCATGTTTTTTGATGGCAGGAAAACCTGGATCCTCAGTTATTCAGGGACTTCTTCCAAATTGGCAAACCATTAATGTTAATACTGTTTACCTCACCTTCCTGTTCTCTTTGATTCTACAAAACAATACAAAGCAAAAGTCCCAAAAGCATTGTTTCCGTTTCCCTCTTACTCCGTGACACTGACAAATACCAGTCTGCTCGTGTAGCTCAGCTTACAAGATGGCAGAAAAGAGAGAAGCTGTTGAAGTATTTACTTTATTTTGAAGACGAAAGACACAACAGTGAAACTCTAATTGCGTGCCTGGGTGATAATAAGTGTCAGCTGCACAGAGTTCTACTTCAAATTTAATAACGGACACCTGCAAGATTAGCACAGACGCTCCACAACGCCGGTGGCCCACGGAGGAAGGAAATGATGCTGGTGCAACAGCTCTGAAACGACAGCGGCTAGTTTTTAGTTCGGCTAAAGCAGCAAGTCAGAGGAAAATTAAGAAGCTTGGCGCTAGTAATACGACAGAGGAGATGCTACCGGTGTCTACTCGCTATATGCAAAAGAAGGCCTGTAGGCTATATGAAAGTGTTCCAAAGAGGTGTTACGCTGATGTTATGCCAGTCGAACAAATTGCTTATACCGGCATTTGTTCTGCATCGGGTTACTTTTCAATGGTAATCATGTCATAATGAAACTTTTATGAGCGTTATAACCCGACAGTGACAAGCCCCTTGTTTCAGTGCATTTAATTCAGCAATGCAAATTGGACAGAGCGACTGCGCTATAGTTACAAATCCATGCTGAGCCTAAAGGCAATGATGGACATTCCTAATTAGTGATATTGATCCTGATCTCAAATTCTATTTAATCTTCTTGTAATTTTTTGCTGTATTTGTTTACATTTAAGCTCCTTGGGAAAAACACTGTGAACACAGGAGTCTAAACCAGCCTCTTTTTAACTCACTGCTGCACTGTTAATCCCATGAGCTGAGTTCCCCAAACATAACTCATCAAATAGAAGGTAGAGAAGGATGCAGGAGAAGGATGCATGACTGGAACAGACAGGACATTTTATGACTTACTGTTCTCAGAAACCTCCAGGATATAGCGTATGAGGGGACTGTTGCCATCAAAAGGCTTGGCCCAAGCCAGGTCGATGGCTCTTTTTTCAGATTTGCTCAGCACGGCCGTAGGGTTCTCTGGGGCATGGGGCAACTGTCTGCAGGGAACAGCAGGACAAGAGCGATAAATAAAAGAATCTCTCTATTACAGCAAACAAGCCGCGGAGCCAAGGGAGTTAGCGAACGTTTCGTTTTTCTCTGAAGATCGCTTGTACAGATCTAAAGTAAGGCAAAAATCTTTTGTAAGAGAGAGATCAGTTAGACAGGTGATGAAATGTGGCGAGACGAGACAGCAAAGATGGTTCCTTGTCAAGATGGACACACAGGCAAACAAAACGAGATGGATATCACTGGAGGGAGGAAAGGGATTGAAAAGCATAAGGAGACAGATAGAAAGAAAATGCACAGGGAGACATGAATAAATGAGGCCAAAGCAGAGGATCATTAATTCATTCAGCCATAAATTCAGATAAGCATAGACAGATTGATAGATAAACCTTATAGCAATGAATTGATATAGACGGTAACTCAGTCAAAAGGCAGGCAGCCAACGAGACGGCCGATAGCACGATAAAGAAAGACAGAAACAATCAGTCAGTCAGTCTGGCAAACAGAAAGTTTGATGTCACATTCATATTCAATTCACTCTCGCTGCTGTGGCTCTCTGTGTGCCAAAGTATAACCGTAGCAGGCAAAGTTATGTGGAAGCGAGGGATTTGAGAATAAAAACAGAAGCGCTCGTGCATGCATGTGTAGTATCGGAGATGGAGAATGGAGGCGGAGGTCCCCTGGGGCTGGAAGTGTGTCAGGTGAGAATGAGGACAGGGGAGGTGAGGAAGAACAGGCGTCACTTAAGTGAAAATGAGTCAGCGGTGTCAATAGGAACAGACAGAATAGCAGTGGTGGTAAGCACTCATGTGTCTGGCGCTCGCACATGCGTATGCATGTAAATGTCTGTGCTGCGCCTCTGTGTGTGTGTTGTGTCTCTACAAAGAACATGTTGCTTCCTGTGTTTTTACACTGGAGAATATTGGAGAATCAAAAGGGTGAGAGGAAAAAGGAAGGCCGGTAAATAGAAAGTCGCACGATGGTGATGGTGAATGATGGGAGGAGGGCTTGTTACCTGACACGGAGGTGTGCGCTGCGGGAGTCGTTTCCTCCAACAGAGGTCACTCTGCATGTGTAGGTGCCTATGTCACCTGACCAGGTTTGGGAGATGTGAAGCGTACCATCTGCATCTAGCCGCATGCGGGGGATGGACTGAACATTTATCACTGAGCCCTCTTTTTCCCAGACATGCCTGGAATACAAAGACTTCAGTCAGCTGGCTTGTTAAATGTCATTAACGTCATCATCATCTGCTGCATCCATTCCTTCCACTGCATCAGTCAATCAATTTAAACACATTTTTAAAAAAAGGAAACTGCGATATTCACCAGCCTCTGTGTTTTTTCCATTATTACAATTAGTCACAATATAGCATTACTCACCACCTGCACGCCAATCGCACACACTCATACTGCATGTTAAGCACATTCTTTACACTTTATTGCTCAATTAAATCCATGAAATTATCTGTCAAAAGTCGTTTCTAGCATACTTCCAGAAGCCAACGCCTGATAATTTAATTGCCACCCGCTGTAGAGTGGAACTTATCAGGTACATATATATGTATGTCACCTTCAGATTGCAGGTTAACTCTTTTTGACAGCAAAGCAAAGAGTAAACTGAGGTTTTGGTTTTCTTTTATTCGACCACAATCTAAGAAAAACATGTCATTAGTGTGGTTTTTCATCTTCCTCTCCCCTGTCTCTTCAAACTCACCATCACAGGTGCCCCGCATATCATTGCGGCTGACGGGTGCATATCAAACGACCGATTCACACTCATCAAAACTGCGCGGCGCAAACGTGGCTTCAAATGCAGCTTTCTCCTCAGAGTAGAAAGGGACTATTGATCACTACTGATGTCAGCTACATGCTCGGAGTTCACTACATTTTCTGTGGAAGAGTTGTTTGTTGCGCTGGTTTGGGCAGCAGCTGTAAAATATTGTGCGAGGGACTCTTTATGTAAAGAAATATGTATATGCTGGTGGCTGACAAACATGGTTAACAGGCGTAGGTGTATGTCTAGGTCACAGGTTTCCTCTCTGTAGTAACAGCAATTCAGTGCATGTATTTATTTATTTTTGTGCGACCCTTAACCCTTCCCTATAGCAGAATTGTAGTGGTGAAAATAAGATAATAAGGGTACTAAATGACATACACAACCAAGCTGAGGATGAAGCGTCTTTATTAGCCAATCTAAAAACAAAAAGCTCAGCTGCAGAGATTTATTAGGTATTAAACATGTAAGAAATACATAAAAATAGGTTAGGATGAGTTTCAGGATGAGTTAATCTATTTTAATCTTCTCTTCACCAGGAAGACACGGCTGAGTCCCTTAGAAGTGATCCAGATAGTGGTGCAAAGCTTCTAAACAGGTCCTTTTAACTAGCCTTGATATTTTTTTTTATGCTAAATCGCCATCAAATTGAGAAGTCAAGTTAAGATTCCTCTGCACGGTCAGGCACCCACATTCATTAGTAAAGGTCTCTGGGGTCTCTGGGGTCTTCTGATCAGTATGTGTTGGTCGAATCTTTCTCCTGGCGTGAACTAAAAAAGATTCTGCAGCTTTTGAGGATGTGACTCCTACATTTGAAACTCGGTTTTTTGATCTGTGGACACCGTGGGCATTGGCACATTTAGAGGATAGGGCTGGCAAAGTTTCAGATTTGTTGTTGTTGTTTTTAATTTAAAAAAAAAAGTTTCTTCCAAAATGTTATATCCTACTAAATAAGTAAGTTTTTTAAAATTTTGCCCCAAACAATGAAGAATGCATCTGTGACACACACTGACATGCCCCAGATGAACATTTGTACACACATATAGGTCTAGAGATCACAAGGAAAACTATTATAGCCACCATAAAAGGAATGAAGAATAAAGAAATATAACAATGGCTAAAAGAAACACAATTGTGGCAGCTAAAGTCTGAAGGAAACGCTGGCTGCAAACTGTGAGTGTGTAAATTAATAGGGTTACCAATCAACGCCGCATCATTAAGGCACAGGTAGAGCTTACTTTAATTAAATTAGTGGGCTGTTTAGATGTATTCTTGTGCCAGTTGAGACAATTTCAGGTATTTTCTCTCAGCTGCAAACCTGACAGCGTGTATAACTGTTTCAGGAGCAAATAAAGAGAAAATAGAAATAATTCAAACCTTGCCTACAAGGTAACGTCTTAGGGTAAGGTCCCTATACAAATGCCTACAGTACACTGAACTGGCTTTGAAATAGTTTTCTGCCAGGAGGAAAAAAAATGAATCAAGGAATGAAGTTCCCTCTGCTACGAATCCGTATCTCTCACAGATATAAGACATGACAGCTTAGCTTGGGTAAAACTTATTCACCTTTCGTAGGACGGGTTAATCAGGAAGACAAACCGCACGACTTACTTTGCTTCTCTTCACTTTTTCTCCTGCTTGTTTGCATGCATTAGCTCCTTCCCGGTGCTTGCTTGCTTTCAGTGTTTGACTTTTCACTTTTGGATTTGCTGTATTTTGCCCTTTTTCATTAAAAACAAAAGAAAAAGAAAAAAAGGGAACGACTCCCTTTTAACCTGCCTATTTTATGTTGGCCTCCTTTTTTGAGTAACAGTATCTACTGCTTACAGGTGACATCAGTTTTACTAACAGCCTGTAGAAACTGTTGTATATAAATGTGCATTGTGCCTTAATTAATCTGTGTTTCTAAATGGACCCTTACCTGACTGTCACACTTGGGTCGTGTGTGACTCCACAGTTCATAATGGCTTTAGTTCCTTTGATAACGCTCTGGTCCTGTGGGGGGGTGGTAATCCGAGTGCGAGCTGTGGACACAAAATAAAGAAGAAAAGAAAGAGATAGACGGAGAAAAAGATGAAGGAAGTGAGAGAGGGGAAAACGGTCTACAAAATGTCAAAAAAAAATGAATTTCAGGAAACTCATTTCAGTCGAAATGACTTGCTCCTGGTTTGTCTTTTGTCTTTTGATGGCTTCTTGAAGAAAACACCAAAATGATGAATCCAGGCTTGCACAGAAGAATGCTTTTGTATTTAGAAATTGAGCATTCCTTTGTTATTATACAGCACAACCTTGTTTCCTGCTAAACACGTCTCTCAGTAAAACTGCACTACTCTTTCATTTTCTGTTTTTATCACAAAGTTAGGACTTTTTCAACACATTACATCAGGTATATGTGTTTTTAAAAGCCCACTTACCCCAAACAACAAGGTCAGCAGATGCCTCGTCAATGCCCCTGGAGTTGCTTGCCATGCAAGTGTAGGTCCCGGCATCAGAGATGTGTGAAGGTGAGATGAGCAAGCTGCCTGATTCGAGCAGGGTGAACCGGGGCAGCTGGACTGAACCGCTGGCTAACACGCGCTCACCTGGCATATGGGAACGAACAGCAGAAGTGGTAGGCAGAGAGAAAAGGGTCACACAGAACAGAAGGGAAAAAAATGAGAAAAGCAGATTGTCAAAAACAAGGATGCTGCTTCCCTGATCTGCTATTGGAATGCAAACACAAAAACATGGCAAAAGGTAAATCCCAGTAAAGGAATCAGATCAGGCTTTATTTGTTAAGCCACAGCAAACTGTGGTCCCAATGTTTTACAGATAACAGACATCACAATCCCTCGTGGTGTGAGTATGCGTGTAAAAGAGACCTTTTTGCCAGGTGATAGCTGGTCTTGGAGCTCCAGAGGTCTCACAGTGCAGAATGACTGACATCCCGTCGATCACAGTGCTATCAGAGGGTCCAGCTGTGATATTCGGGGCAATGCCTGAGGGTAGACAAACACACACTGAATAAAGGAAGCTCAGTACAGTAACGAGAGAGGGTAAGAGGGTTATAGAGGTGAGAGAATAACTGTCTGAGGCAAAGCCCCACTTCAAACGTATTTCTTGTAAGCAGCAGCCAGCTGCAGTGTTTAGTCGATGCTTTGTCCCCCTAATTCCAAACGGATTGACACAGGCTTCACCTCGGTGCCATAACTGTCTGCTGCCGGTCTATTTTTTGCACCCGCAGAGATAGCGGATATGAAAGGAAGGAAAAGAAAATGAATGGAGAAGAAGTATAGACAGAAAAGGAAGGCAATTTGTAGATAACTAAAATCCGTATTTATGATATGCAATAAATCAAAGCTTTTATAGGATGACAGAAAACTGTATCACTCCCGGAGGAAAGGAGGAGTAGGGAGTTGTCATAGGTGCGCTGCTAATCTCAGGACACAGGGAGTAGGGCTGAAGGAGAAGTACAAACATGATTGTGTTGACAAAAAGGAAGACGATAAGATGAGATCATAGAAGGAGGGGGGAGAGAAGAAGAGGAGAGAAAAACAGGGATGGAAGGGGTGATTTAGCGAGACGGAATATTATGAATTCTGATAACGCGGCACGGCGTGGAGCGAAGGCAGCAGGAACTGAGACAAAGTGAAGAAAATTAGATGTCAGAAACTTGCCAAACAGATGCACAGTGAGAGCAAAATTAGCAGTTATTTTCAAATACCAACAGTGGCAGAAGCGCAGGGGAAAAAAAGACTTCTAAATTCCCATCATTTAGGTGATTACAGTTTAGCAGCAAACGTGATTAATGTTTCGCCTTTCCACAGTAATGTAAACTTAATCGTTGTTGGCCTAATTGTTAGTTTATATAGGGAAGCTTCCCTTCTGCAATATTGTCAACTGACAGCGACGCCGCAATCACAACTCTGCTGTCAGACGTAGTGCACATCTAAAGTGTTTTTCTTCACTGCCTAGGTATCGGATTTCTTAGTACGAGACAAAAATGCCACTACTACAGAAAAAAAAGATGCATCTCTGTGTTTTTTTTTCCTGTAACCAAAGTTTTGTTTGTGGTTTTCATCTATATTTCATGTCCCAAGTTGAGTGTTTCTTGCAGTGTTTACAGTAAGTCAGGTTCTTGTGTGATGAGAATTAGTTCATTTTCCAAAGGCAGAGAACCAAGAGTGCAGCAGTTTGTTTAACAGACTGTCACTTTTTTATTTTTATTTGGACTTTTATTCACTCAGCGTAGGGCCCTTGAGCTCACACGCTCATTTACAGCAAAACCCTACTTCACTTTTCGCATTTGTCCTGGGAGATTGGCCATTACTAGCCCAGTCATACACAGGTCACTGCTTTGTTTGGTACCATGATGTCATTTTCTTTTTTAAATGAAAATAAAGACTTAACTTGTCTTTATAATCACAAATTTAGCTTTTTTACTTGAATTGCAGAGAGTAAATCCATACATCCATTTATAACCATTCTATGCAAGACTCAACCTGCTTTCAGTATTCTGAAATGATTCCATTTTTAAAATACTACGCTTTGACATTTCTAAAGCTGAAGCTTAGCAGAGCTGCATGAATATTTAACACATTTCAGTAAAAGAAAAAGTGAATGTTTAGCTCAAATTCAGCACTTTACAACATGTTTAATAGTAGCAATTATCTGGGTGAAGTAATTCCTTGAAAAGCTGCTGGAGCACTTACTTGTAACAGCCAGGTATGTGTTGGTCTGAACTTCTCCGGCTGAATTTCGGGCAAAGCACTGGAACATGCCGGTGTCATCAGGCAGTAGGCCGTTGACCTGGAGGCTGCCGCCCACCAACACCCTGTACCTGGGTGTCCTCACTGGGTCGATAGGCAAAGCATCCTTGTACCACACAATGTCTGGCTGGGGCACTCCTGCAGAGGGTGGGCGAGTGAGAGTTTGGGGTTCAGTTCAAACATTTCTCCTCTGATAGGGTTTACTTTACATTCTCTTATTGTAATACCAGCGAGCTCTCACCCCGTGCCTGACAGGGAATGTCAACCACCTTCTCCATCTCAGCTGTGATGTGTTTCTCCGGTTCCTTTATAAACTGTGGTGGCTCTGAAACAGCAGACACATTAGTGAAACACAAAAACAACAGATTAAAGCAGAAGTTATTTCTGCTTTAAATGTATTGAATTTTGGGCCAAATATCTGATAACACAGCAGAACACGGTGAGACTAGTTTGATTATAGAAGTGAGTAATTGGTATTCTGTAATGGTTAGGCTATCCTTCAAACTTATTGGGGGGGGGGGGGGGGGGGGGGGGTGAGAGGAAAGGCTTAGTTAGCAGTATCGTGGAAAAAGCCCCCCCCCCCTTCCACCTTGTGCTTTGAATCACATCATAACCCTGAAAACATCAAAGTGTTTCAGTCAGATGGAATAAATGTGACTCAAGCAATGCTATTAAACCATTTCTTGAGGCCAACCATTAGTTTTCTCCCTTTTAAATCAATAACACTTCCCCCTTACTGCCTCACAACTTCACAGTCATGCTTTTACCACATTTATGTAGTGAGACTGAATATTTGCATCAAGCTCGCACAGTCACTCTTGTCTGTTAAAGTTTACTTCTACATATGTGACGCATGTGGGTCGCTGCACGTAGACGCTGATATGAAGGTACATACAACTACCTACCAAAACTGAAAATATTAGTCTGTTCTTTAACTTGACCATAATAAAAAAAGGTTATAAACACCTAAAAACGATTTTAAACCTTAAGGCCAACAGGCAAAAAATAGAAATACAAACATTATGGTAATGTGCTCCAAATACTGAAGTTGTATAAAATGCAAAAGCAAAGACACTGATATCAAATAACAAACAAAGCACGAGAGAGAAGAATAACAAACTTATCTTGACTTTGAAGCAGCAAGGAGAGAGCAATTCTTTAATATGTGTGCTTTCACTCGAATGTGTTTCTGTCCTCAGGCAGCACTGAACACTAAAAACTCAAATAGTATTTGTGATGCAGTGTCTGAGTAAACCTACAAGGTAATCGATCATGAGCTCTCAAAGTGCTACCTGCGGGCCAGTGGTGCCCCATGGAAATATTTTATGTGGCCAGCGGGTGTGAAAAGGAAAGAATTCACGACTGTGGGTTTAGTTTCTCCGCACTTCGTGTTATGCTATGACAAAGTAGCGCTCGACGAGACCGGGGTTTCTATTCAATTTTAAGCAGATCATTGCAAACTAAACCTGACAAATGCATCTGTTTAAAAAAAAAGAAGCCTAAAAGTGGTTGATATGCATTTTTATATATGGCCTTCCATCATTTGCTGGGTTCCTAAGTGGCACTCAGTCATATAAACTTTGTGAACCATTATAATAGTCAGACATTCACATGAAATTCTGGGAATGGTTTCCTTTATTGCTTTTGTCCTCTAAGAAAAAAAATGTGTGAACTGGTGTGAAACTATGAGGTAATGAGTTTCATAAATAGATATTGTCACCTGGAAGTGTGCAAGTATTGGGAAAAATTACAGCTAAAAGTACTAAGTGATATTAATACGCAAAAATAATAGACACAAGACCCTGCCAGGAACATATTTTAGCCTTTAGCTCTTACCAAGGACATGCAGATAAGCTCCAGCACTGACTGAAGGCACGCTGCTGCTGCGCAGAATGGCCTCGCACTCGTAGTAGCCGGCGTCGCTCACCACAGGACTCAGGATGGTCAGTCTGCGGTTGAAGTCACTCAAACCGCTGTTCACCAACACGCCGTTCTTACGCCATGTGATACTCAGCTTGATAAGAGGTCTAGTGAGAGCAAAGAAGGATGTGAGATGTGTTTGTAACATCCATGTCCCTGTGAGAATGCTCGTTTTGTGCTAGCCCATAAAGCCTCACAGTGTGACACGTCACATAAGCAGACATAAGCAAATTATAATTATACAGCTGAAGTACATTTAGCTTCTGACTCTTTACCATTAGAATCTAGCACCGTAGATGTTTTTGGTTCTATTTGCCCAGTTTTCTGAGTTTTGCCCCTGACATGCAGCAATATATCACCAACGGTCATTTCACTGGGACTATTTTTCTTTTCAACTGTGAAAAATAGCCCCATAAAATCCTCTATTTTGGACTGTACCGAATCATTTGAAACCCTGCACTTTCAGGAATTTTTACCTGGCATTGGCCACACACTCCATCGTGACCTCTGATGTGCCTGTGACCACACTGGTGTTCCTGGGAGGGATGATAATGGTGGGGGCAATGGGATCTGCTGGACCTCCAACATCTAGACACAAAGTCAGGTCGCCACACAAACATGTCAACAAAACATGGAGATGTTAAGCAAAGATCAATGAACCTGATAGATGGGAATAGGATATAATTAACAGAGGCACAATCTGATGAGATTTCATTGGGTTCTTTGGATTGTAGTGACCTATAAATTTCATTTCCACCCAGTGGGTGCTCATCGACATGAAATATTGAAACTGACCAGTGCACGCACTGTATCTGAGTTCTGACAGAGAGATTGGTCAGATACGATGAGACAGTGCACTCACTGTGTATAACAAGATATATGCCGGAGAACCAGAAGCAGCGATAGAAAAATACTGTTTGACTAACATGAGGCTTAAGAAGCGAAGAGGCTGTTGTGCGCGTGTGTCCGCATGTGCCTGAGCCCACATTTTCAACACTTTATGCTCATCCTTGTTTATTTCTGTGTGAGTTTGTCTGAGTGTGTGTGTGTGTGTGTGTGTTCATTATGGCACAGCTCATGGCAAGGAAACCCCAGTGTGTGTGTGTGTGTGTGTGCTGCTTGAGATGTGTCACGTCTGCGATAAACTCACACTGATCCGTCAATCCCATCATGCCCTGGAAGTGTGCTTGTGGGCGCACATGTCAGATGTAGCTACAGGGACTGTCATGACTCAATCTAACCAGTCTTGGGTGTTAAGATGCATGCACAGACACAAACACACACATCACAAGATATGATGTCCATATCAAACTACTATCTTGCAGAGAAAACAAATCTTCTTTTTTTTTTTTTAAAGAGAAGAACAAAAACACAGGAGGAGCCTTGCTGAAATTATAATGAATTTTTAAAACTTCATCCCGAGTACATAAATTGTAAATTGAGCATGACTCCTGCTCTCCACCTTTCCTTGTCCTTTGGCCTTGCCAAATCTTAGGCAACTACTGCTGGACCCAGGTAAGCTCACAGTGTCAGAGGCATCACTGCAGCAACAGCTGCCGCAGCAAATAAGTGATGCATACATGCAAAATTCAAGCGCTCTGTCAAACACATGCACAAACTCCAAATACCGGCTTTCATAACAGACTGCATCTGATTGCTTGTATGTGTGTATGTATGCGCACATGTGTGTGCATATGTGAGGAGCATTCGTATAAATCGTGTATTCCCATTACACCTGCTGAGTCGAGACCTCCTGCTACGTGCTCTGTATAGCCTGAACCCGTGCGTGTGTGTGTGTGTGTTCTAGCACTTGTATAATCAACTCTGCCATTGTTCTCAACATGTGCCACAGGCTATTTTTGCTCCCTTGTGTTGTCAACTATAATATCTTACCCTCACCCTCCTCATTCACTTCCATAATGAACTCCAGTCTACCATGTCATAAGATGCTGTCTGTTAGGTTTCCTCTTATATCTCACTCTGCTGAGCTGAAGCCGACCGAATTGGTTTGATTTGTGTATTCTGTGTTTTTTTGTTTTTTTTGTCATGCAAGCTAAGGATGCTTGTGAATATTAACTAACTTGGCAGAAGAACAATCTACCTGTGCCTCTGTCCGTACAGCTTCCTCTTACTTTGTGCATGTATTCGTGTGTGGGTGTGTGTGTTTATGTATGTAGCAACGTGCGAGTATTGGTACAGACTCAGGTAGTTAAGCTTAAATCTCCCACAGTGATGGGAAACATAATCAGGTACAATTAAAAAATTTACCTGACAAATTTTGTCTATATTCCTTTGAGGTCGTCTCTTTATGCATCTCTGGAACACTCCCAGTACTGCTGTATTTTAACCCTCTCAGGCTCAAATTAAGTTTTTGTTGCTAATGCACAAAAGAATACCTGCAGTGGTACTTCTGAGTAAAAAAAAACCTCATAAAATATGTATGTGGGGTAATCAGGTTGTTAGCTTTTAACTGTTGCAAATCTGCAACGCCTGTCTTGAGAGGGTTAAAACGCTTGCTTAAAGCCGGCAATTTACTTATGCACTGGATCGTCTCTAAAGCAGGCCTTCAACTTGAATTTCATTTTAGTCAAGAGGAAGAACTAAAAGGGGAACCTAAACTGTCAAGAGGGTCAGCTGGTCAACACAGACTAATGGCGTGACCAAAGAACTTCTCTCTTTTCAACGTGCTTTCAGTGTGCACACAATGTTCTGCCTGGAGGATGAATGTTGAATGAGCGCATCAGGTCACACTCCTGACCTGAAGAGGTGCCTTTGGGCTTTTCTCCTGAAGACTACTGTTTGATCTCTGGGTCATAACTCATACATCTAGCTCTCATCAAGACAGTTGAAAGTTGGTTCTGATGGACACCGAATTTGACATTTTTCTCCTTTTGCCAGTTTGAGGTAAACATAAAACAAAGGTGTAAACAAAGGGGTGTCCAACTCCAGGGCTTAGTTTACCAGTACCACTTTATATGTACTATATTATACAGTTCTAACCTGGAATGACATCTTTATAAACTATACACACTAATAGCAAGACAGTAATACCATTTTAAATACTGTTTTTGCACCGGGGCTTACTAAAAACAGTTAGTAATCACACATTTTTCAAGCCAATATATCAAACTGTGAGCCTGGTATGTAAAGGCTCATGATATCAAGTGAATGTTTAATATTTCCTTCAAAATCTTAAAAGGCTTGGACATGATAATAAAAGTAAAAGTACGCCTAAATGCGTTTCCAATTAAGCCTTGATTTGCGTACGTATATGTGGTTACTCACTTTCTACTGACAAGGTGATGGGCTGGCTGGTCTTGTTCTCTCCATTTTTGTCATTTACAGCTTGCACATAGTAGCGTCCGGCATCGGGTGCCACGGTAGACAAGATAACCAGTGTGTTGTCCAAAGTAATGGCACTGAACAGGAAAAGAAAAGAGATATAAAATCACTCTGCTCATTCAATGAGGAGGAGGAAAAAAACGTTGATATATATACATAAGAAAAAAGTGAGACGTTCATAGAAAGCTTCTATAAAAAGAAAAACAGAGAAACTTTCAGGCCGTCTCCCTCTGCCTAATTAAAACTAAACATGTCTGACGTTTGCTTTTGTGTCCACACCTTATCTCGTGGCTGAGGAAGGCATTAAACATTTTAACATTTTAATTACACTGTTCAAGCAGCATTAGCTATATCGATTTACAATGTGTAAACAATGTGTAAGCGCTGACTGAGCAAAGCGGAAATATTGACATTCTCTCCTGTCTTAACTTCTGTGCAGTCGCTTCACAAATATGATAGCCTTGCTTTTAATAACCCAAAGCTTTTAATTAGCTATTTATACCACTCTGCTTCATGTGGCCAGCATTTTGGCAGCAAACTGCTTTTGGCGGGGATCAACAGCATCTTTCTTATTGCCTGTTTTAGTAATGCCTGAATAAATAAACACTGATCCATTTTTCAGCAGGAGGCCTATAGGCGCTAATACCTGGTGTCATGTTGGCTTTATCAAATCCTCCCTTTCTTCGTCACTATAACCATCAGTGAGAGAGCCCACCCCCACCCTCCTGTGATGTGTGCCTGTCTTCAGTCAGATTTCCAACTAGGTGCCTTCCTCCAGATATCGCTTTTCTCTTTCCATCCCACCACAAGTAGTTCTTGTGCTGTTTATAGATAAACTTCTAAACTACAAATAAGCTATAAATTCTAAAGTTTGAGCTGAAAACACAATACACATAAAAATCGGTATATTTGTTACAAAAAAGCCCAAAGAACAAACAAGTAACACTTTCGGAAAATAGTCCTTTTGGAGTCCTCTTCAAACTTTTCAGGCTATTAGCAGTGCTAAAACTGTCCTCTAACTGTAATCTCAGTTATCAATAAAAAACAAAAGCAAAAACTATTCCCCAAGTCATTGATCATGTATTCTAGAAATACTGTAATTTTTGCTGTTTGTTATAAAAAACAAGTGTAAAAACAAAAAACAAAACTACGACCCCTGTCGTGTAAGTTTCAGACACATTTCTGTTTCACAGCTGATGATTTCCTCTTTTTCTCCTCCTCCAATCAAACCCACTCCACTTCTCCTTCCACTTTTTCCTCCATCCCCACCTTCATCTCATCAGTAGGGGATCGGAATACCTGCTGTGCATGATCAGGGGAGCAAGAGAGCTGATGAGAAAGCAAGCAAAAAAAGATGCCAACAGTATGGTGCTCACAAGCAAATACAGAAAATATATAGAACTGTGCACGCCCATAAAAAAAGAAAAGAAAAAGCTTCACAGAGGCAGGAAAACCATCTGACACAGCAGAGAGAGCAATATGCTGTGCATGTGGCATAGAGATACCTGTGCTGTTAGCATTTAGAGCGTGATGACTTATGAGATGCATCTTGGAGCTGATTGATTTTCAAACATCTTAAAGCAGCTCCAGTCGCTGGGCTCATCTGGGATTCTTCATGCATGCTGAGACTGAAAACACTCTTCCTAAAGGGACAAGCAGGCCTCAATGGCTGTGGCTTATGATCTGAGGTAAATATTTAATGCTAGCTCGCTGGAGCGGTGACATCCTGGACACACAGCCATGAATTATGGATCTCTTCAGGGATGCGGGTAGAACGGAAGTGTCCAAAGCACCGAATGAATCCCGGGTGGCTTCCCAGGACCTTTCCAAAACGGGGACACAATCCAGGGCTTAACTTCTTTACCTGCCACTTATGAAAGACCAAAATATACAAGCTAGCACTGCTAACCACAGCTTTCCAATGACCTCGACGACGCAGCCCATTCTCTCTGTGATAATGCAACGTATCAGGGGATCTTTGAAGTTCTTTATTTTCCCTCAAAGATCATTCAGGAGCATGTCAAAGCACCTGCCAAACTGAGTTCAAACTAATATTATCCAGAGCAAAACCAGATTTCATCAGTTTCTAGGAGCAGGAGGCATTTTCCCCCTGCTAGTTGATTTTAATGTGCTCCCATGCTGAGCATTCACTCCCCCCAGCCTGTAATCAGGGCTGGTGCAGTGGGGGTCACACAAAACTTGGTTACACAGCTTGTTCAGCACATCTAACCACTCCCAGTGTGTGCTGGGCCTCAGGGATCAAAGACCACATGACGCTGGAAGAAATTAAAAGTAAGCCAATTATCCTGAATGGCTTTGCATGTATATCAAGGGAGCAAGAAGGGAAAGATAAGAATTTCGCTTAAAAGAGCAGTTAATGTTTTACATGCTTCTTGAAGTTCCGCTTTAACATGTTCATTATTTTTTTCTCTTTTATCGTTGTCTGTCTGATTTTGGTCACTCTTATTCAAATCCCCATCTCTCAGCGGTGTTGTGAGCAGCTGTCGGAGGCTTGCTTATAACGATGGCTTAGCACGTATCCGGCACGGTGCAGGGATTTATCAAGCCACAAGGCTGAGAAATTTGGACAAATCAGATATGTGTGAACATGCCTCTGTCTCTGTCTAGTTTTAATGTTTATTCCCACATCTTAGAATGCTTTCTCTTTTTTATTCCAACCCAATTTCCTTTTCCATTATTATTCTTCAGAAAAAGCCATGGTCTACAAGAGAGCCTGGTAGGCAGGACAGCTGCCCAGAAACATCTTGGCCAACTGTGCAGCTTTTACGCAACCCTAATTTTGCTTGCAGCAATAAGCAGTATTACTCCCATATGCAATTACTTTCTTGTGGATCAATTTTTTATGTAAAGAATCAAGGGCGCTTTTTCAATGAATGCCAGCCTTATAATGATTCTGTAGCACTTTCATCAATAATGATGATGAGGATTTATGTTTGATTGAAATAGATATAACTATAAATGTTTTATTTGCCACTAGCTGCTTCCCGTCTCTAATTTCCATTATTAAAAATAAATTATATTACAGCAAAATTAAATATACAATGATCACGGTTGCTCCCTTTAATTAAAAACATGTGGTCCCAGCGCTGGAATAGTGGCTTCACAGTGCATCTCCAGAGAGTTCAACCACCGACTTTGTCAGCTTGTATACATATCTTATTTTGTTAATCCAGCACTGACACAGTCTGACAGTGCTGGTCCTGCTCTATCACATACAAACACACACACTCTCTAGTGTTTTGGCATCTGTCGTGGCTGTCCTTCTCCACTGGGCCGTGAGGGGCCTAACCTCGCTCCACAGCCTCAGACCTCCATTACATGCAGACAAATGGCCCCAGTTGGCTGATGGCCACCCCCCAGGAGAGAGAGAGAGGGGGTTCAGCAGGATCAAATGGCTCACATCGCTGGCTAAGGTATAAGTCAAACCACAGGCAGTAGACAGATGAAGGAAAAAGAAAGCTAGAGTGAAAGCAAGCAACAGGCTACAAGCCCTACCGCTCAACAGAGTTGTGATGAAAAAGCCACAGCTCCTGGGGATGGAGGGATGAAGAAGTGAGAGAAATGAGAGGAGGTGAGGGAGTGTTGGTCATGAAAACAGGCACTTGTTTTCTCACTGGGTGTATGGACTGAAGGTTTGTGCCTTACTGTTCGCTTTCTGCTTCCCTTTCACTTGTGGTTCATTGAGTGTTCAAACCAATATAAGGATGTCCCCAATAATGCTCAAATAGTGACATCTAAATGAACTCAAAGCCATTTAAGACAAGCCTTCATTAGCGGAGTAACTCGATTGTCTTACCATAACAGGACACCCCTAAATTCTTCAACCATCAACTGAATTCTTACATAAAAATCAACCTGCATTAAGATGAAAAATAATTAATTCATTAGTCGTTCAATAGGAAAGTGTTTTTAATAATCAATCATTTCTTATTGTGAGTCTCCGTGGCGACTCTCGATCCCATTCACAGCGTGGTTTAGCTAGATTGGATCGCTCTACTGTGACCCATTGTTAAAACACTGGGATGCTGCAACACATTGCAATGGTTTTCAAATCACTGAAACTTTATATTTAATTGAAAACAGTACAATATATCAAATGTTAAAGCTGGGAAATTCTACATATTTTTTGGGGGAAAAAATGTGCTCATTTTGAGTTTGATGCCAGCCACACAATTCAAACATGCACGGGCATGTTTACACCTGTATTGCATCACATCTTTGACCAACACCACAAGAGTTTGGAAACTAATGAGACCAAATGCTGTAATTTTTTAAAAGGCTATTGTGCTACAATTCTTGCTTTTTACATGATTTTAGCTTTTCAATTTGAGGCTTTTTTGTCATATTTTTCATTTCATAATGCACTGCTATTGCCATTAAAATTTTAAGTGTCAGGTCAAGCACTCTTATATCGAGCTATGCTGCTGTAATATGTGCAGCATATGGTTTGTCATACTATTGCTGAACTAAACAAGGCTTTCCTTAAAAACGTTGTCTGGATATCAGCATACAATATGTCACTAGAAAAACCTTGTACATATCATTCAACGGTAATTGTGACTTTACAGATATGCAAGAGCTAATGCATCAGTGGAAAATGGGAAGCAGATGCCGTGATTTTTTGAAACAGGTGCAAACACAAACGGAAAAAGAGTATGTAAGGCAACAAAATGTAAAATAAATGACCACATTTATTCTTAAACAGAGCCTGAACTCTCTAAGGTAGCTTTCTTGATTTTTTTCTTCAAAAATAGTTCTCCGGGCTTGAAGGAAGTCTAAAGCTCTTCTTTGGATGTTAGCTGCCTTTTGTTCCCTTCGCTGTTGAGACGATCCTATACTACCTTAATAATGTTGTGACATCCAATCCAACACTTTTAGTATTCCACTGTGTGTTTTTCTACCCAGGCATGCTTTTACTGTTTGGAATCACCCCAACCCTGCTGAAAATGAATGATAACAAAATGAAACTGTTGCCAATCGGATGCTTCCCATGTGGTACTACATGGTGGATGAAAATCTGGACTTTGCTGCCTTCATAACTCATAACTTCATAACA